AAAACTGATGGTGGGTAGAAATGGAGTAAATTGTGAAGCAAGAGTGTCCCTGGTATAAAATAAATTGCAAAATTATTATTTTTTCCTTCTGGAACTTATTTTTTTTAAAGGAAATGGAATACCACTGAAACAATATTAAAGATTATTATAATAATATCAGTGAAGAAGACTTATAAGAAGAGTTTAGATATCTTATGAGATGAATCAGTAGTTATACAAATGTAAGGATTTCCAAAGGACATGGATTTGAATTCTAAGTAGTTTATCAGGTAGCTCACAACCACCCATAATTCTGTCTCCATGGGGTGTCAACTTCTTTGATCTTGTTGGACACTAAAGCCTTGTTGATGTACCTACACAAAGACAAGCACACATAATCAGAATTATAAGTATTAAAAAACAGAAGAGTTTAATAATAAGTCAACTTAAGTGAAAAATCTACACTAAAATATATAATATGGATTCATTTCTTGATGTGTTGTAACAGACAATAAATATGAATAAATTGCATCACAGATCATATGTCCAGGATAATTTGAAATCTCATAACAAGCTCTTGTTCATTTTAATCTCATTTTTGTTCAAAGTAAACAAGACTGCTGGACATGACAGTAATCTATCTCTACCTACTTTCCACATTTGGTGCTTGAACAGTACATTGGTTGGTAGAAACATATGGTGCCTGGAGATATCAGAAGCAGAGCTTTGAACAAGCACCTGATGGAGGAGAGATACTAGGAATGTGTTATGAATAGGTTTTCCCCTGCCAGTCAGTCTGGTATCATTGCCTTGCCAGCCCCAAATAATACACAGAAGCTCTGTATTTGATATAAAGCTGTTGGCCAGTTACTTGTTTCTTATCGGCTACCTCTGTCTTAATTATTAACCCATTTTCTTAATCTAAGTACTTCCATGTGGTCTTACCGGAGAGAGGGGCTGTCGTTCTTCTCTCTCCATCCTCCATCTTGGATCTCCTTACTACTTCTATAATCCTCCTTGTCCCCTAGTCCCACCTATCTTGCTTTCCAATTGGCCAACAGTGCTTTATTCATTAACCAATAAGAGAAACATAATTACAGAATGACATCTCCCATCAGGGAAGTCTCACATCTGACTTAAAAAAAAGCAGTGATGCTTGTATGGGAAAGGTGGTCTGGGCCGATAGTGTGGTTTAAGGACAGGCAATTATAAGATGGTGGGAAAAAAACCAATGGGAGTGAGAACGAAATGAAAGAAATGTTTACCAGATTGGTCTGCACATAAACCAGACATTTATACTGCACACTCCATGCTCTGGAATCGCAAATGCCATTTGTCAAAGGAAGTCAGAAACTACCAGCTCCAAAGTCCTGCAGTTTCTTCTGCATACTGTGCTGGGAGAGAAAGTCAGGGCTCACAGGAAGTGATTTCTGGCCTTCTGTGTACTTGCTCAAGGATACAATTGAAACCATTGAGATTTGGTGCCCCTTGATGTAACACTGACTCCCTGTAGCATGCTGGTACCACCCCGAGGGTCAGAGGATCATGGTGGCTCCCTGTACCCATAACAAAGTCCTGTCTCAGAGCCAACCCGAGGTTTGGACTTGGGGAAGATGAGATTTAGAATTATGTAATTTTCTGATAATTTCAGATTATGTTTAAAATCATGTGTTTTTTTTAATTTCTGTTATTTACATGTGAATCACATAAGTGGAGGTGATTTCTTGTATCAAGTGAGAGAGTTTGTCTCCCAATAGCATCAAAATGTTGAGTTGACCTGTAATAGATGATTTTAATTTTTTTGCTATGATACTTAATTTCTTCTCTGACTGGGCACATATGTGTCATAATATGTAACATATTTTAGAGCATTGGTCCCAAATGTTTCTCTCTACATCTCATACAGCACAAGAGATTGGAATTTTTGTGTCTGGTGTCCTCCTGTATGGCTCTTACTATCATGGTGTCATCACCTCTGATCCTTATTCACAACTACATGTGTAAGGACTAAGGTTTTTCCGCCTGCCACCTGGTATGTTTTCTTCATGGGACTGTACAGATGTGTTCACTATTCAAAGTTCAACATTCAAAGTTTCATCAACTTCAGTTCAAATCCTTGTTTGTTATGAGTTTTTCATGCTCAAGTTTTGTGTGAAATTCATAGGAGTAACCATTTATGTGAGCAGAAACCTGACAATTACAGTATTCACTGTGCTGGGGTTACCTCAGCTCTCAGTCTCCCAATATTACTTCTTATCCACGGAAAAACATGCATTCTTAATCGTATCCATGTTCCCAGGTCCTCCTCCTCATTTCCCAGCCCATCTCCAAGGTTTATCTGGCCTTGAGTCTTGGGGTGATGGAAATGTGATGTATGAGATAATCCTTTTCAGTTTTAATCTCCTCAAGATTCATCCACAGTGTGACATAGAAATCACTATATGCATGCTACATGTTAAGAACATATCATTGTATTTTATGCAAACAGCACACATGTTTAGTCATTCAACCATTGATTGTTTCTGTAATAGAGTATCATAGATTGTAAGGCAGTGACTACCTGTGTAAAACTTCTTGTAGTAACCCCAAACTTTGTTATTTTATGGATCACCACAATGATGCAAATTGATGGATCAAATACTTACTAACTCTTATTTTGGAACTTGACACTGTTTCTTCAAGTACAGTTAGTATTCCCTTTCATTCTCTCTCTCTCTCTCTCTCTCTCTCTCTCTCTCTCTCTCTCTCTCTCTCTCTCATTCTCTCCATGACTCTCTGTCTCTGTGTGCTATGGTTGTGTATAGTTGTGTAAACACATCAGTATGCTTGTGTGTTTACACACATATAGAGGCTAGCGGTAGTACTTGGGTGGCTTTCCCCTACCCCCATATAAACTGTCTTGAATATAAGGTTATATAACTAGCTCTGTACCCTGGTGTTGGAACCATAGTTACTCACACTCATTCATAGCTTCCAACACCTGAAGGGATCAGTTTAAAGAAATTTCAATAATGAACAATGTGGAGGTGATGGAGTAATAAACTGAATTAGCTAAAAAAAAAAGTCAGCTGGGTCACATCTGAACTGAAGTGCATAGTCGCAGGTATCACATCTAGCCAAAATATTATAGGAAACTAAGGAGCCCAGAGCAGGAGAATTAGTCTTCAAAAGACAAGAGTATACTTGTGAGTTTTCCAATATCATATAGCACACTGAAATCACATTACATGGACTTAGGTTGGATATCATTATTTAGAAATATAGATACACAGATACACACACACACACACACACACACCCAGAGAGAGAGAGAGAGAGAGAGAGAGAGAGAGAGAGAGAGAGAAAGAGGTAGAGAGAGAGAAAGAAACACACATACCTTATTTACCAATGAATTTGAAAGAAAACAGGTGTCTCCAGTGAAAGGTTTGTAGTAGGGGAAAAAGGGAAGTGAAAAACAAAACATATTATAATCTAAAAAGTATTTATATAATTTGAAAATGAAAATCGAACTCATTTATTGCTGAGTTCCTTTAGTTGTCTGATAGATATAAAATTAGTACAAAATGCAGGAGTGATTGCCTAGTATGTACAAAATCTTGGATTCACTTCCTTACAGTATGGAAATTCCCTGTATTGTCTCATATATTATACCCCAGAATTCTGGGACGGTTCAGTAGGATCAAGATATACTAATACTCCTTTTATTTGCAACATATTGAGGCAAGGCTGGGACTGATGATGCTGATGCCTCAAAATATAATACAAAAAATAAAATACTTCTAGAACCCTAGATGGGGTGGTATATACCTTTAATTCCAACACTTGGGAGTTAGAAGAAGGCAGATCAACCTGAATTCAAGTAGCAGCCTGGTTTACAAGAGCTAGTTCCAGGGCAAACTCCAAGCTACAGAGAAACCCTGTATAAAATAAAAATAATAATAATAAAAACAAAAACAAAAAACTACAAAAAACCCCAACCAAACAAACAAAACAAAACTAAACCTCTAGAGATGCAGAAGACATATTACAAGAAGAGATAATTTCTGATCATGGGAAACAATCCATGTCAACTTTCTGAACCTGTTGCAAGGCTGTTTTCCAATGTGTGCTCCATAGAACTTGTTCAAACGTCAAAGATCCCAGAGCACAAGGACAGACAATGATGAATCATGATAATAAATTCTAGGGGGCAAATAAATACACTGGCAGGAAAACAGACATCCCAATCAACTCACAATCTGCGGGTGCTCATGTATAAGAGAGGAGTCTAGTCAGACAGTAAAGAAATTGGGTTTTCTAGTCACAGTGTTTGTTTACACAATCTGTTGGTGTTGATATGAGTCAATAAGCAAACAAACAAATAAATAAATAAAGCATTTTGCACCAGAGAATCCCATTGACAACTATGTTGATTGTCTTTTTCTACTAGATATTAATGTTTTAACCAAATTAACCTAGAGGCAGGAGGGTGGGCCTAGTCCCTACTCCAAATGACTTGACAGATTTTGTTAACCCCTCCTGGAAGCAACCACCTACCCTGTGGGGTCGGGGGGAATGGGATGGGAGGTTTGTCGGGTGGGGGTCATGGGAAGGAGGGAGAAAGGGAAGGAGAGGGAACTGGCATCGATATGTACAATAAAAAATTAATAAAAAAGAAAGGGGTTTTAGTTTGAACTGATATTGTTGATTTGTATTTTACTGGCAAAATTAATATACTGAATTCCCATCTACTCCACCAAAAGTTCTAGTCTCTTAAATTTAGAAGATATATATGTACATATATATTCATAATGTTTTGTCAGAGCTAGCATTTTAGTTGTTTTAATAAGGCAGAATCCTGTCAGAGGTGGCCTCTGTTAAAGAGCTGACCAAAGTGTGTTGGCCTCACAGAGCACATCACTTCATTCCCAGCAGTGCGTGTGAAAAGTTGACAAAGACAAGATAAGTCAATAAAGTGAAAAGGAACACAAAGCAGAATTATTATTTCTGAGTCAGGCTCTCGACTGCTCTTCTCTGTCATCTCAGCTTCCTGCTCCTCCAGGGTTTCTGACACACTCAGGATGTGGTTGCAGCACTGTGTTTCTTGCACAGTAATAGATGGCAGAGTCCTCAGATGTCAGGCTGCTGAGCTCCATGAAGGCTGTGCTGGAGGATGTGTCTGCAGTCAATGTGGCCTTGCCCTGGAACTTCTGAGCATACTTAGTTTCATCATCACTTGGATCAATCCTTCCAATCCACTCCAGGCCCTGTCCAGGCTTCTGCTTCACCCAGTGCATGTAGTAGCTAGTGAAGGTATATCCTGAAGCCTTGCAGGACAGCTTCACTGAGGACCCAGGCTTCACCAGCTCAGCCCCAGACTGCTCCAGCTTGACCTGGGAGTGGACACCTGTGGAGAGAAAGGCAGAGTGGATGTCACTGTCACCTGACTGCATGGCCCCTCCTCAAGTCTGGAAGATGGAGCACTTACCTGTAGCTGCTGTCACCAGGAAGAGGATGATCCAGCACCATCCCATGGTGATGACCTGTGTGCTCAGTGACTGTGGAGATGGCACTGGTCATATGTTGTTGGTGGTGTGAACTTCTCTGTATTTACCACCATAGACTCACGTGATTTGCATATTTATGAGCAGGGTACTTCTTAGATAAGGACCTAGTGCAGCTGGATAAAGAGTCAGTATAGGACACCTGGGTCTAGAAGCAAGATGCTGAGGTCCAACCTCTCATACAGTCTGAGGAAGGGGATATTCCTGAAACCTGTGGAGACCCTGTGGATAAACTTTGAGCCTATTTAAAAATAGATTACCAACCTGAGAAATTAGTTCATTTCATTGACAAAATTAATTCACAGGTGATGGTATTGTTGAGGATAACTGTCCTTGGAAATTTCAAAAACACCTAAATTGGGAGAATTTTCACTCTTCTTTCGTATATAAGTTATTAATATTTTCTCTTTCAGCATTTGTATGTGTGTGTTGCTGGTGGCGTTTTTTTTTTTGTTTTAAATCTTTTTTCTTTTTGTATATTTATTGACATACTATAGAGACAATGAAATGTTGAGGGTGACTGGTAGGAATATGGAAAATGTCTGAGAGTAGCTGGAAATAAAATCTCATCAAAATGCAATGTATGATAAAATGTTTTACAAAAAATAAAAACTAAATAAATATTAAAAATAGATGAGAAAGTAAAAATCTCTGCATTAATTAACAATGAATATTTACGGTGTATGAAAACTACAGACTTCACATATCCACTGTAGTAGGTGTTGCTCAGCTAATAGACTTTATCAGGGGAGTCCACAGAAGCTCTGCAGTTCCCCAGAGTCCTAATCTGATCTCCATCCTAGTGATTAATGCTGCAATGTGCTCCCTGCTATCTATACTTTTTATATTCTTATCTCCATGAAAAGGGCATAAAAATTAGGATTGTTAATAAACTTGTCACAGCTTCAAGAATGTTGTGACCTCTCCATCATGGTCTTTTGAAATTCAGTTCTCACTGAGTACAACGAGGAGCCCCTAGATTGGTAACCAAGGGCTGGTGATAAAAAGGATTGTATCAGATGGACTCATATGGTTGTTTAAGAATTATATGCCCAAATCAAAGCAGAAATATGTCTTTTCACATTCAGTAAGTATTAGTCATGCATGAATGTCTTTTCTTCAGTAAACTGGGGGAGATATTGAGAAGTTAATCCACAGACTTCCAGTGTCCAGAGTCTCCCCTAACTCCAGGGTCACTGTGGTTATCAGATGTCACTGGCAGCCATGTGGGCTGACCTCACTCTGGTCTTCAGAAACAGACAGTGAATCTCTCAGTTATCACAATCACACTGTTATGTCCCATGAGTTGTGTTTGACTTAATGTCAGCAATCCCAAATTCTTTAGTCTGTTTGTTCACCAAAACTTCTTGACACAGAGCTGAGGACACTATAATAGTATGCAGAGATGGCACTGGCCTAAAGAAGTAGATTTACTTTCTCAGGTTACTGAAACCTATTAATACCTAACAGTGAACCAATACCAACCATCACTTCTTCCCATGATCCTCCTCTAACTCTCAGGTAAACTCTCCAGCTTTCCTACCTTCAGCTGCATCAAAGTTCACAGCAGTTAGCCTGCAGGCAATATGAAGAGGAAAACAACAGCAAAAAGCAGAAATCAGAGATGAGGAATTCTGTTGCCAATCAAAGGGAGATGGAACATAGATCTTAGATGTCATCATCTGGCATGAGCACAATGGTCACTCAGACTTTTCACAAGATGGGGCATAAGAAACACCTTCAAAGGAATCATTATATGAGACATCTGATTGCAAAGTAATCTACACAAGCATGAAAATTTCCAATATGAATGTGTAAAAATGTTAATTACCTGTACCCTACTAGAACTGGAAACAGTAAACAATTTGAGTTTCCATCTAAGTGATGTAATAACAATTATTCATGGAAGATATGGACTATACTCCCCATGATGGGGAATAAAGAGAAAGGTTTTCAGACTCTTTAGAGTTTTCTATGATTTCCATCTGAACATATCATCACACAATCCTAAAATTACAGACAATGTGGAAAAACAAGGAAAGTTTTAATTTTTGCTTTTAATCTGTTGACAGCAGGTGACAGATATATTAGATGTTCCATGGGGGAAAATGGTATGCTTAGTAGAATGGAAACAGATAATAATTATCATAGAATATGAAAAAGCCAAGGGTTTCTAGAAGATTTTTTGTACAGAAAGTAGAAACTACATATCCTAAAATGTAAACATACACTGGTTTACAAGGAAGAACATGGTGTCTGTTCAGAACTGCCTATCATTGGAGGGCCATCTAGTGTTTCTGAGTAGTCTCAGCAATTGTTAGGAGCTCTGTTGTTCCTGATTTTCTACTGTGTAGGAAGGTTTCTGTCTGACTTTACACTGAAGTCTCTTCCCATGTGTCTCACATAGTAACTCAGTACTGAATTTTAGGATAAATTAAGAGATAAATAATTAAATTTGTAAAATTTCAATAAAGCCATGTGATATCATGAGACAGCTAACCTCCCAAATATGTTTGAATTGAATTCCTGATCACATCTGCTGATGTATCATGCTAGGGGAGGGTTCTATCTGCCATATGTGATGTTCGTTTGCACCTTGTATATGGTTAATTGAGAGGAATAAACTCTTAAGTAGAGTCCAGAAACACCCTTGCCCTTAATGCACCGATTTCTCAGACTCTGCATAACTTAACTTAAGTTTTCCTTTTTGCTTTCTCGTACAAAAATATGTGGGAATTAAGACCTTGGCTAAGAATTCACTTCCCCCTGCTGTCCTCAGGGCAGACAGCTGTAACTACAAAGAAAAATATGTTTATTGAAGCAATATGTTACTTTGGTTCCCAGAATACTGGGACAGGACCCTGAGAACTCACTAACCATTCCTTGAAACCTGAGATGACTAATTGCCCTCCTCTGCTTCCTCCTCTCCCATCTGGTGCCGGGGTATAAAAGCAAAATAAAGAACCTTCTTAACGTCAAGCAAGAATCCTGTGTTTATAATCCTCACATCCTCTACAGATTCTCAGTCCCAGGCTGTGCAGGCCAGCAAAAATATTTAGCAATGTTATTGATAATATGCCCTTGATATCGTTTGATAATCACAATGTTAAATATAAGAATTGAGTACCACTCTGTTTACTTTGACAGAACATGTTCTCCAATAGATTATACTCATTCCCATGTAGGGATTGCTCTGAAATATAAATCTGTTTGTAGACAGACATATTGTGTCTCAGCAGTCTTGTACAGATCAGAAAGATTGTCCTAGGAAACTTGTGTAACTAAGATATGTCAGGATAGCCATAAGATGGAGTTCTGTGAAGGATGAAAACTTTACCTCTCCTTCAGAAATCCAGTCAGTGCCCTTAGAAGTCAGGCCTATAAACCTCACATGAGTTCAGCAAGTTCATATCTAACAATGACCGAAACATTCAGACCATTCTTATCCATTTTATTGATGGATCCCAGGAATTCACAGATAAGGGAAACATTTTTTCCTTTCTATTCTGACACTGAGGTTTATATGAACACATGAGTTCATGGTGTTTAAAATTCACTTTGCACAGACTAGTGCATAAGGGCACTATGCTTTGAAGACAAAGAAATACTATCACCTTTATTTGGTGCAGGAGGTATTTCCTGAATATCATGTGATCTGCTAGGAAAGGACCAGGGCACAAAGAAAAAAAAATGATGAACTATGAGAACAAATTCCAAGAGGAAAATAAATACACTGGCAGGAAAACAGACATCCCAATCAACTCTCAACCAGAGGGGGCTCATGTTTGTGTGAGAAGGCAGATCATATGGGGAAGAAGTTGAGTTTTCCAACCACTGGGTCTTGTTTATGCATTTTTTATCTTGATCTTAGTGAATAAAATTAATAAATAAAATTCTTTACAACAGAGATTCCCACTATTCTTTGTGTTGTTTTCTTTTAATTTTGTATTCATAATTGTTGTTTTAATCGAAATGATCAGATTATAGTCATTGTACCAATGGCTGCAGTATTTCTGTTCCTGACATTCAGCCATTACTGCTGTCAATATCCACTGCTAGTATAGAGTGACTATGGAGAATAATGTCATTCTACATCAGTGTACCTTTGAAAAATAATTATCCTGTTATTGCTAGATCATTACATATTGCATGGTATCATGGAGTTTGTCTAGTGTAGCTGCCTTAAATGGCACATGCCAGAGGATTTCAGTTTAGAGTCCTTAGTTACTGGGGCACTATGTTCCTTTCAGTTCTTAATAAATCAAGGCACTTCCTCAGTCCTAGAAGCTTTCAGGCCACCTCTACTTTTCAGTGCTCCCAAGACCATCTGCTTACTTTCCCTAATTCTGAGGGTGGGATCTCCTTCACACACTTTTATCTCTCTGCCTACCACTGTCTCTTTCTCCCTGCCCATGTATTACATTCCATCAATTACCAGATAATGCACCTAAATGTTTCAAAGGTACATACAGATAAAAATCACTCAACCTGAGTTTTACCATGTCTCCGTAGTCTATTTGTTGCATCAGATTTAAAATCAATTGCTGACTGATCCAGCAAATAGCTCCAGGTGTTCCCTCAAAATCTCCATCCTGGAACAAGTTCAAAGTGGCTCATCCAGGGGGTCTGCTTCAAAAATTGCCCCAATGGATGCCCACCTGTCTCTAGCCCTATAAGTTTCCTTAGAGTCTGGCCAGCTTGGACTGGGGCAGCATTCCAGCTTCTTCTGGCAAAACCCAGTTGTATAAATTCATCAAGCTAATAATCTTGAGGTACCAGGCCCTTCCTGTTGGAGTCTCAGGTGTTACATACAGTCTTCTGTTGAGCTTCTCTTGAGCTGTGTTTGAAGCTAGGGATTTGTCAACTCTTTCACAATCGACCATTATACCACCCAACAATGATGCTTCAGTGTTACTAGGAAGTAGTCACAGAGAACATTACACAGTGCTCCTCATTATTTTTATTATCAATAAATGCCTGGCATGTTAGAT